TGCCCAAACCTGGACACAACCCTCCAGGTGTGGCCTCCCCAGTGCCGAGCACAGGGGACTGTCACCTCCCTGCTCCTGCTGGTCACACCAGTGCTGACCCAAGCCAGGAGGCCGTTGGCTTTCTTGGCCCCCAGGCACACTGCTGGCTCCTGTTCATCCGGCTGACAATCACCCCCCCAGGTCCCTCTGACTGGCAGCTCTCCTCCTGCCCATGTTGTCACTGGAGCAGCCAAAGGCAGCATCAGCCTCAGCAGGGCAGCACCTTGGGATGGTTCAATCTCACCCACTCTCATCGCCGGGGTAATTAGCAAAAGCCACCAAATAAGAGGGGCAGGGCTGGAGTATTGCCCGCAGTGCACCCGCAGCCTCTGCTCCCACCCTCTGCCTTTGAAAATTTGGCTCTGGGATTTCCCTGGAGGAAATTGGAGGATGCTGCCAGGGGAGTGTCTGCTCACACTGAAATTCAAGCCCTTGGGAAGATGCAGTCCATGTAGTAGCAGGGGCAGGTCCTCGGCAAGTCGAAGGTCAGAGCTGTCACACCTCTCTTGTATTTATTGAAGCATCAGGCAGGGAGAGGGTGGTGGGATCGCGGGCTGGGGCAGCTACTTTCATATTCATGTGGTATGTTAAAAGCTGCTTGTGAAATCGGTGTCTCATTGATTTAAAACCAGGTTTATGTTACTGGAAAAAGGGGTGATCATGCTAATTCAATCACTGAAGACTCAGGAGAACAGAAGTCTTTCTTTATTACTTTAACTAGCCATGTGGAGCAATAATAATGTCATTCCTTGTCAAAGCTGACGCCTGATGACATTGTGTAATCCCCAGCAGGTAGGATGGGCTCTTTCCTCCTGGAGAATCCCAGCCCGGGTGGTGTTTGAACAGGGCCAGGGAGGGCTGTAACTGGCAGCAAAGTGCATTCAGCATGCGGGAGCCGTGCGAGTCGTCCCAGATTCAGCCACTCAGAGCCTCTCTGCTTTGAGACAGCAGCCTTGCCCGTGCACCCACTGTGGGCATGGGGATTTCCAGGCTCTTCTTTCAGGGATTTAGTGGCTGCTTCATTGGAAAAAATGGTTTTTTTTCTTTTCCCCCCAGGGGAGACTGTGGATGGGGTCCTGCAGAGTCTGCCGCAGGGAGCAGGGTGCTCCCTCAATCCCCTTTGCTGGGCCGGCGGGGCTGTGGTGGGTGCAGGGAGGTGCCCTTGGGCAGGATGGCTGCTCACCAAGCACCGAGCCTGCTGAGAGAGCTCAGGGTGCTCCTTGGTGCAGGGCAGGGCAATGAAAGCTTCATGGTGTTGTGAGGAGCAGGAATAAGAGTCCTGGAGGTGTGTCCATCCCTCTCGCCGCGCAGAGGATGGGCTGAGCCCAGCAGGCCCTGCCTGTACCTGTCCTGCCTAAGGGCTGAGCCTGCCCAGGCCCTTCTGGAGGATCAGAGCTGGGGTTGAGCCTGGGTTTGTGCTGTGTTTGGTCCCACCCAGGTCCATGCCAGTGTGTCAGCGTGGGCTCTGCTGCCTTGACCACACCACAGGCAGGGGCTGGGCTGGGCTCTCCTCACCAGGAAGGGTCTGGATGAGCGGAGGGGCCCCGAGGAGCCCTCAGTAGGATGATTTGGTGATGACTAGACAACAAGAGATGTTTGCAAAATCAGTCCCTGGCTGATGACCATCGTCATTTTGGGTTGTTGGGCGTTGGAATGGGCTGCCCAGGGCAGGGGGGAGTCCCCGGGATCCCTGGAGGGGTTGAAGAGTCGGGCTGAGCCAGTGCTGAGGGATCTGGGGGAGTTGGGAACGGTCAGGGGGAGGGTCATGGTTGGGCTGGAGGAGCTGCAAGGGCTTTTCCAACCCCAGTGACTCTGGGATTCTGTTTGAAGTCAGCAGCTCTGCTTCTGGGAGCCTGGAGGTGGCTTTTATACTGGGGGTAGTGGTTTTCAGTGACCCTTGACTGAAGCTGTGCACTCTTCTGCACTGGAGATGGGTTTCCACCTTCACCATCTCGTATCTTCAGGCCACAAACAAAGGAAGACAACCAGATATCAAAGATTTTTGCATCTTGATACTCTACAGGCCACCCCTTTTGTCCAGCTCTTTTGCAGACAGGACCTTCTGGGTGGCACCAGGACATGGATTGTCCTGTGCTGGTCCATAGCAGCTTTGTCCTCTGTCCCTGCAGTGGCTCTGGTGGCAGGAAAGCTCCAACCTGGCGCTTAGCTGGAGGTTGGCTCGGAGGACACCCCAGAGCAGGAATCTGTGCGTCCAGTTGCTCAGGGGGATGAGGTCCTAACACTTACCCCTTCCCTGGTCTCGGCACCTGATGCTTTCCCGAGCTTCTCTGTGTCCAGTTTTTGGAGAAATGCAGCTTTCTGGGGGTCCCTGGGGGTCATGGATGCCGCTGAGAGCCCCGTTCTGTCTCTCCAAGGGGTGAGACTCACTTCAGCAGACGTGTGTTTGGGGACGTGCCCTGAGCCAGCTCCCTGCTCCCCTGCCCTGCCAGGACGGGCTGTGCCAGGGGACGGGGCTGCTGAGGAGATGAGGCTGCCCTGGCACCCTCCTCTCCCTCTCTTCCATCTCCCCAGTCTGCCATCTCCCCCCCCCATCTCC